TGCTCTCAAGTAATCTGTAGTAATGAATAGATTATATTTTTAAAAGTGAATGCAAGAAAATACATTTCAACTTAAAAAATGAAGACAAGAAAAAAGTAGCCAAGGAATCAAAAAGAAATAAATTAAAATCATAAAAGCAAAAAATAAATAAACCGGCAGCAGAAAAGTGATGGCATGACTATATAATGAATCCCAGGAAAGTACCTTTAAAAAGAATCAGTAAAATGGGAGAGCTGCTGGAAAATCTAATTAATAAAAAACCCCATAGTCAAAATGAAAAAAAGAAAATAAAAGGAATAGAATTTATATAGAAGTTTTAAAAATTATAATAAAATGCTTGTTTGATTTCTAACAAATTTGAAAATAATTGAAATACAAATTTTATTAAGAAATTTAGATGGTGAGGATTAATTAACTCAATAGGAATAGGAATTATCTGGTTAAATCACTTAAAAAAGAAATTAAGAAAGCTGTTGAGGAATTAGCCCCTCAACCCCAGACAAGCTCACTATATAGTAAAACCTCATAAAGCAACGGTAATTAAACACAGTTTGGTTCTGGGGAAGAAAGGATAGATTGTGCCAGCTAGAATGATTTGGCAGCAAGAAACAGGAAAACGTGCTTTAAATGGACTAAAATGTGAAGGAAATACATTGCCATATGTAACTGGGAGTCCACAGGTGATAGTTCCAAGCACAGCATAATCAGTGCCTCAAGTGTCATCAAGGAGCCTGGTTCTTACCAGGCCTCTCCTTGCCATCCTGGCTGTGCTGGCTTTGCATTTAGCCTGGCCCTGGGGTGGTTGCATAGCATCTATCCAGATATGACAAGATCTGGAGAAAGGAAGAGACTGTGTTTATCTTTCTTGGGTCTCCTTTTAAAAGTGAAAACCTTTTGCCTGTTTCAGCACATATTGGTTCATATCCCAATGGCCAGTATTGGGTCATACGTCCATCCCAAAAATCACCAGCAAGGGAGGATGCTGATCATGATTCGACATCATAGACATCGGGTAGTCAATTATTCAAACCAGCAGACAGATTCTTACAATAGAGAATCTATGTCTATGTTGGGTGTTTCATGAGCATTTAAAGTTTTCCTCAGATGAGTTTTACATATTTCTTATTAAATTTATATTTAGATGTTTGTATTTTCTGTTTCTACTATAAACTAAATCATCTGTCATATTTGCTAACTCATGGCTGTTGCTATATATGAAAGCTCTGGGTTTCTACACACTAATTTTTATAGCCTATTTATTTACTGCGGCCTCTTTTTGTTCATAGAGGTTTGCAGCTAATTCTCCTTGATTTTCCATGAGAAGTCACACCATCTACAAAGAGTGAAAACTTAACCTTCTCTTTTCCAGTGTTTCTATCGGCAGTACCTTTCCTTTGTCCAATAGGAATGGCTAACACCTCCAGTATGTTGTTAAATGGAAGTGGGCATCCTTATTGTATCTCTAATTTTAGTATCTGTTCATTTCTTTTTAAAGGTCTTTTAAATTTTAGAATGGATCAAATGCCTTTTTAGCATTACTATGTTTAAAATTTTTTCTCCTAAAATTTATTAAAATATAAAACCATCCTTGCATTTTTGGAATAAATCCTTCTTGGTCGTACTACTATTCTCTTAATGAAGTTCTTGGTTCTAATTACTGTTGTTATATTTAAAACTTTAGAATGTATATTTGCAAGTGAGATTAATGTGTAGTTTTTCTTATACAATTTATTCTACGTTTTGGTGTCAGTTATACTCATTTTATAAAAAATAATTTGCAATTTCCTCATTTCTTATGTCCTAGATAAATTCAAATAGCATTGTGATGATCAATCCTTACAGGGTTGGTAAAATTCTTACGTAAAACTATCTGGCCCTGAGGGTGTGTTCTATGAGTTGATGGAGGTTTATTCTTTAAAAAGTTTCTCTATTTCTTTAATAAAAATTGATGTACATTTTTGGTTCATATGGTCTTTGTGTTTGAGATTGGTTTTAGTAAATTATATTTTCCATGAAAATAATTTGTTTTATTCAAGTTTTAAAGTTTGATTTGCATACTTAAAATCTATTTGCATAGAATTGTGCAAATAGCCGAATTCTGAAAAAATTTACTCAGTTGCTGAGGTTATCTTTTGCCCTTTCTTATCTTGTGTTTGTGTTTCCTCCCTTTTTGTTTTATTAAATCTTCTACTTGTCAATTTATTTTATTGATATTTTCTTTTATGAGAAATAGATTTTAATTTGTTAATTCTACTGGTTTTCTAACTTACTCATTTCTGCTTTTACTGTTATGAAGACCTTCCTCCTTCTTTTATTTTATTTTGTTTTTCTCTAACTTTTTTGAGTTGAATATTTCATGCATTGATTTTTTTTGGTTTTATTTTTCTTAATATAAATATTTAAGGCTAGCATTTTTCTCTGTGCTCTGCCCTGTTTTTGACCCATAGTTCTGGTGTTTATTTTAATTATCATTATTTTCTGGATCTAATGAGTGTCTTAGCTCAAGCTGTCATAACAAAATATCATAAACCGAATGGCTGATCAACAACAGAACTGTATGTCGCACAGCTCTGGAGCCTGGAAATCTGAGGCCAGGGTGCCAGCATGGTCAGGTTGGTGAGGGCCCTCTTCTGCTTTGCAGGTGGCTGACTTCTCCTTGGATCCTCAGATGGCAGAAAGAGAGTCAACCAGCTCTCTGGCCTCTTTTAAGGGCACTGATCCCATTCGTGAGAGTCCCACCCTCATGACCCCATCACCTCCCAAAGGCCCCACCTTCAAATACCATCACATTGGGGATTAGATTCTAACATATGAGTTTTGAGGAGACACAAACATTCAGTTCATAGCAATAGATAAACATGAATGCACTTGCAATGCCCCTGGGTATTTTGTAAAATGCAGACCCTGACCAGTAGGTCTGATGCATCTGAGACTGCATTTCTATAAGCCTCCAGGGATGCAGGTGCTTTTGTTTACAGACTACTATTTGAGTAGCAAGAGTTTAAAATAAACAGTGTTGTATATAGATGATGTATTACAGAATTGTACATCTGAAACCTATGTTACTTTACTAACAATTGTCACCCCAACAAACTTTAATCAAAGAAAAAAATTTAAAATAAGGTGTTTTATTTTTTAATTTTCAGGCTTTTTCTGATGTTATAAATTTCTAGTTTTATTGCAATGTGATCAGAGAATACTATCTGTATTATTTCTGCTTCTTGGAATTTATTAATTTCTTCTTAGTGACTAATAAGGAGTCATTTATCATGAATGATTATGTGCACTTGTCAAAAAGTTGTACTCACTTTTATTAGTGTACAGAGTTCCATCTATATCTACCTTATTGGTTATTTTAAGTTTTTATATCATTAGTTAATTTTTGTCCACTTGATCTGTCTTTGACCAAGAACATTGAATTAATATTCCCTATTATTTTCTTAACATATTATTACTATTTCATTCTAAATGTTATTCTCTTTTTACATTGTTATGCATATACAAATATCCACAGCTGAGCATTGTAGCTTACTACAATGTTTCTTTTCTTTTTGTTTTTTCTGAAGTTAATAATTGCTTTGCTTTTAATTTGCTTAGGGTTCTTGTTACCTTTTGCTCACTCTATATATCTTCCAATAGTTTCTCAAAATGGTTTTCCTAAAGATCAATCACATCAAGTAATATATATTTTCTGGTGTTTTTTCTTCTTGAAGACACACCGTCTTGGAACCTCCATGCTCCTTTCCTTTGAGTTGGTAACACATTAGGCCTGATGAGCAGCTGTAAAACTGAGACTTCTCATTACTATCATTTTAAAATTCCCTTTGCCTTTCTCCTGAGTTAGAGTCTCTATTTCTTGGATCTCATCTCTTCTTCTGTCTCTAGTTATTCTCTCAGCTTGGTGGAAAACATGGTGGGGGCTTGATTAAGGGGGCAAGCATAGAATCTGATCTCTAGTTTTTGGGAACTTGGCCTGGGGGCTCTGTACAAATAAAATAACATCATTATACTACATTAATAACCAACTTGTCTATAAGAAGGAGAGAGCATGATGTGAGTAGAATATCTGGATCAAGTTATGTAGACAAGCAAAAGCATTGGGGAAAATATATTGTCCTCTTCAATGGCTTTCATCTAGGGCTTTGTCTCCTCCAGAGTCACCTCTGTCTGTTGACTTTTGGTAACTTTAGTCCAAGCAATAGGCACCCGGCAGTCACAGTGGGACTGCTTGGTTTGTGTGCTACCTTGTCAGAGTCCTGGGCTACAGAGGTTCTTCCAGGAATCTTTGACTGATTAGTATGATTCCTAAGGAGAGAAAGCCTTGCTCTGTTGTTAGTTCCTTAATTGCCTTTTGAGTGCAACTGTAGGCAGGCAGACAGCCATATTCTCTTTGGAAACTGCCAAAAGGCATGGGTGTTTTCATCAGTTGACATTGAAATCCCATACCTCCTCTCCAAGCAAAGTTCCTGGGGAATTATTTAGACATTTAATTTGAGCTTCTGCTATTGTCCCCAGATTTAAAAGAAGTTGAGTCATCAACCTTAGAAAATTGATTCATTCCGGGAGTCCAACTTGGACAAACTGGGCCCCCAGGAAGAAAGTGTTAACGCAAGTGAAATGAAGAAAGTGTCAGGGCAGGGCAAACACTCTACCAGTGGAGAATAAAAGATGATGATAACGAGAGAGCGTGGAACTCCCATAAAACAGCAAGGAATTGCTTAATAAGCCACAGTTAGAGACACTTTGCAATAAATACTGTTGAAACAAAATATGGGCTGGTCCTGCCCTCTGAAGTACCCATGGAATGTGGGATGGCTTGACCCTGCTGAAGGAATTCACCTACAAGCATTTGGAATGTGACCCACAACATTTGTTCTACAATCATTCACTGGAGGATCAGGGGCTAAAGGGCATAGTTCTTCCCCTCCAAAAATTAACAATCTAGGAGAGAAAACATACAAGTTAGCACATGAGATTAAATGAAACCAGAGCTACAAGAAAGAAGAGAAATCCCTTTTGACTGGGAGATTGGGGAAGGCTTCACAGCAGATGTGACATCCAAACTGAACCTTAGGGGAGACTAAGAATTAGTGAGAAAATGGGGCAAGAGGCATTGACAGTTGCAGGAAACATTAGCCCAAAACTGGAGTGTGAAAAGGCCTATCCCATTTGGTGAATGGCTAACAGTCTGATGTACCCGGAGTTAGGAGGATGGAAAATGAGGCAGAGAAGAAAGTTTCAAGCAAGGTAAAGAGGACAATCCTTTAAGGACCCTGAATTCGATTTTCAGGGCCTTAGATTTTTAGGACACGTGGAGTTTCTGATTGCTTATTGAGGGACTTTATGGCATAATCAGATTTGTGTCTTGCCCAGATATTTCTGTTAAGTTTGGAGAAGGAAAGATTAAGAGGCAAGAAGTCCACTTAGGAAGGCAGGGCCATGAAACAGGTACATTCCCAATGAGCTCTTAAGAGACATTGAGGCCTCTGGTCCTTGAACTGTATCCTGAGTAGCAGTTATCTGTACATTGTGACCAAATAACCAAGGATAACTGAAAAGAAGACTCAGGGGAAAGGTAGAGGGGCAAATAACTGAAATTTTAGGCTAACGTAAAATACCTCTCCCCAAAAAACATAAGAAAGGGTAAAGGCCAAGGCCAGGGGCTCTCAAACTTGGCAGAACAGATTTGGAATCACCTGAGGAGCTCTAAACACTACTGGTAACTGGGCCTCATCCCAAGAGATGCTGATGAAACTGGTCTTGGGTACCACCAGGACATTGGGATGTGTACAAGCTCTAAAGGTGACTCTAATGTGCAGTCAGGGGTCAAGAACCATGAGTTAGTTCTTATCAGGTATGAATTACTGATAGTTGCTAATTTCTTGTTTTGAAATAATTATTGAAATTATGTTTTCCCAACAACCTTCAGAATCAAGTATAATCTGGGGGTTTGTATCTAAATTAGTTACTACACTATTTTTAATATTAGTGTACTTTTGTTTCAAGAATATTTTTGGCTTTTCCATTCAGTTCTAGAAACAGATGAACTGTTTTCAGGTCTTTTCTTTAATGCGTTTCTGTGTCACCAATATTCCTTTTACCGAGGCTTTCTCAATTTTATGTTTTATGTCTAGAAAATAACTTCAAGACATTTGTTTTAAGGAAGGCTGACATGTTTTGTGAATACTTGTGTGATGGTTAATGTTATGTGTCAAGTTGTCTAGGCTACGGTACTCAGTTGTTTGGTTAAACACTAATCTAGATGTTGCTGTGAAGGTATATTACAGATTTGATCAATATTTAATAGATTTTAATTTGTTAACTCTACTGGTTTTCTAACTTAACTGATGTCTGCTTTTACCGTTATGAAGTCCTTCCTTCTTCTTTTACTTTATTTTGTTTTTCCCTAACTTTTTGAGTTGAATATTTCATGCATTGATTTTTTTGGTTTTATTTTTCGTAACATAAATATTTAAGGCTAGCATTTTTCTCTGTGCTCTGCCCTGTTTTTGACCCATAGTTCTGGTGTTTATTTTAATTATCATTATTTTCTAGATCTAATGAGTGTCTTAGCTCAAACTGCTATAACAAAATATCATAAACTGGATGGCTTATCAACAACAGAACTGTATGTCGCACAGCTCTGGAACCTGGAAATCTGAGGCCAGGGTGCCAGCATGGTCAGGTTGGTGAGGGCCCTCTTCTGCTTTGCAGGTGGCTGACTTCTCCTTGGATCCTCAGGTGGCAGAAAGAGAGTCAACCAGCTCTCTGGTCTCTTTTAAGGGCACTGATTCCATTCGTGAGAGTCCCACCCTCATGACCCCATCACCTCCCAAAGGCCCCACCTTCAAATACCATCACATTGGGGATTAGAGTCTAACATATGAGTTTTGAGGAGACATAAACATTCAGTCCATAGCAATAGATAAACATGAATGCACTTGCAATGTGCCTGGTATTTTGTAAAATGCAGACTCTGACTCAGTAGGTCTGGTGCATCTGAGACTCTGCATTTCTATAAGCCTCCAGGGATGCAGGTGCTTTTGTTTACAGACTACTATTGCAGTAGCAAGAGTTTAAAATAAGGTGTTTTATTTTCTAATTTTCAGGCTTTTCCTGATGTTATTAATTTCTAGTTTTATTGCAATGTGATCAGAGAATGCTATCTGTATTACATATTTCTGCTTCTTGGAATTTGTTAAGTTTTTCTTAGTGGCTAATATGAAGTCAATTATCTTGAATGAAAGTAAAG